ACTTGAGGAAACGCCTCAACAGAGCCGTCTACGAGACACATTGAGGAAGTCATAACACCTCTCTTTGATCGGCATATCCGATGTTCGTGAAGTCGAGCCATACGCGGACATTGTCTGCCACAGCTGCTCCGATTTTGGCCGGCGCAAGTCGCGTGGTCAAGGCTCTACAACGAATGAAGGGGATTATGAGTTATTAGGCCCTCGAAAGGAGGGGCGTGGTAAACTGCTCTGTGCAACATTCTTGCGTATTCGGGAGCGAGGAGATTATCGGACCTGTTGCTTGAAAACTCCTGCTGTGCACAAATCAGATATCATCGCTCGCCGCCAAGACGCCGGCAGGATAACCAACGCAGCTTCTCGCATTAACTATGACTACAACGTGGTTGGGAGACAGAGCAGGAGAACACTTGGCGCAGGAGATATGGCTTGGCAATAGTAGCTACAGTCAGCTCTGCGCTGGCCCATGGTGGGGTTCGAAATGGCGGTGTTCCTGCAGTGAACTGAGGAAGGCTCCTATTCGTGCCGTTCAATGCCCGGGACTCAAACCTGTCGAGTTACAAAGCAACCTGCTACTGACTAGCTTGCTTTATTGATCAAGGCGACTGGCGGCATAGCTTGGTCCAGCCTTGTCTGCTTTGTATGGTCACCTTTAGCTTGACAGAGCCAGATTTAGCGGGCCGAGAATAACTCGGAGGTCCCCCCGGAAAGCATTTACATATTCACCGACCCGAGAGATACGATCAAGGGCCTCAAGCAATCAGAATGCATCCAGAATGGGTATAATCGGGAGGAGCATTAGATCACTGCGATGTACAGGTAGCTATATGCTAGAGAACGGCTGACTCATACTGCCCATCACATGCTCTCCGGACTGAATTCAAATCTCCTTGTAGAATGTGTTCACATCTGTAAGAACTCAAAAGGTCCAGAACGCTGGAAAACCCCGCCAAGCCAAGAGAAAAGAGGGGGAAAACGAGATCGTGTTGTCCGTGCTGGGGATGTGTCAAATTTAATTCCACACTTGCCAGTCACGAGGCGTCCAGAGGCGCTGTTGACCAGTGGCTCAGCAGTATCCGGGAGTCTAAAGGTAGGTAGAAGTGGAAAGACGACAAATGAGACATTGCTGGTGATTGGCCACCATTACCTCATTTTCTCTTCTTTGATGTAAGACAAGCAGCGGGCCTGTCAATGTGATGATGCTAATGACTTTTTTTGATTTTCGATAAAAATTGTCGGAAATGGGTTCTCTGACGAAGTAAACATGGAGAATCTACGAAGTAACCATAGATGTATTCGGATTATTTATAGAACTACCTAGGGACGGTATCACCATCATCGACTTGGGGCAACTCTTCAATAGGCTTTACGCGCTCCAAACCCAGATCCGAGCTTATCCGGGCCGATAAATGATCCGGGGAATGCCACACCCGCTGCATGATCGAGACCCAAAAATGACGGCCTGGAGATTGAGAAGGCGAGAGTGACAATCCGCTGCCCAGCAAATCCCAGCAAACGAAGTGGTACCTACTCCGTACTAGTACACATGTTGACCTCTTCCTCTACGCCACAATCAACTCACTTCCTACGAACAGAGAAAATTACTCTTTTCCCTCCCTTCAGTCCGTTCTACTTTCCTCACAGCTTCAGACTCTTTTCTTCATCTCATACTTTCTTGAGCTGTACCGCCTCATAGGCTCATACAGGTTCGTCTCGTCCCTTCGATCTGCTCCAGTCCCAGGTACCGTATCTCCGTCCATCACAGACCCCATAATGACGCAGTATTTCCCCGTCCAGTGCAATCCTTTCTTCCTCCCCTCCATCCTAAGGCAACTCAAAACTCATCCCGTCACGCAAATCCTCTCCAGCCACCTCCGCACACATACCATTGCCCTAGTCGTATTTCATTGTCGGTCACCTGCCCTGTTCCCCAGTGTCCTGTCCCTCATTGCCCTGCTCCGCTCATACTAACTCACATATTTCAGAAGCTTCTTACCGGCGAATCGGAGCTTTCCCTTCCGACCAGCTAGCTCTGTGGATTGGACACTGCACTGTGATGCCATTCTCCTCTCGGTCGGTTCCTGCAAACTTCCCTCCTCCTTCCTCAACTTGAACGGTCGGTACTACTGCTGTGGAAATTCTCTTCCTGTACCGACAATAATCGGTTGGCAAACGAACGAGAATTGCAATATTCCGCATCTGGAACTATTTCCAAGCACACTTTGAAGGCATACTCTTCGTTCAACTCTCACAGGCGGATTTCCATCCTAATTTATAACCTCAGCACCGTCGTGCTGGCCAAGACAGGCCCGAGCATTCCAGTGCGAGCCCGGAACTTCGTATCGTCTTGAATAGACACGTTTTTGTGGATCTTACAATCTCGAGCTTGGCAGATATCCACGCCTTGCAGTAATGGGTCAGTCGCATTCCAAGGGCAATTCTGGCCCTGGCGACTCTCTGCAGTCCTATCCATCCTTCTCTCGCTCCGATACTAAGGAGTCTCTTCGCTCGTTTCGCGGCTCCATCCGGTCCAAGATTCGAAGTAGCGACAGTCCCAGAGGATCGACTGCAGGATTGCCGGACGATAAATCCGACGCAGCATCGGTCAAGTCGACAGCCAGTCGACGCAGTTCCACCAACCAAAGCGTCCATTCTCCCGATGATACCTCTTCTCAACCCGATGCTCCTGAGCCTCCTCCATCTCCTTCCCTGTCGAGTAGCTTGAAACGAGGCCATAAAGATGTCAATGCAATGCAGCAGAGTGGCGAGGTCGACCATGTATCCGATGTACCTCCCTCCGGCGCTGCGCCCTCGGGCCCGTCGACCCAGAAAGTCGGCGAATCGATCCTCATCAAGAGAGAGAACCAGCTGAATCCTATCCTGGACTTCATCATGAATGCTCCATTAGAGACTTCTGGATCTCCAGGTATGGGAATGGGTGCTCTGAAGTCTATCGACCTTGACGACATGATCTCGAGACTTCTCGATGCTGGCTACTCTACCAAAGTCACAAAGACTGTTTGCCTTAAGAATGCGGAGATCATGGCCATTTGTTCAGCGGCACGGGAGCTCTTCCTCTCCCAGCCTGCATTGCTAGAGCTGTCGGCACCCGTGAAAATCGTGGGCGATGTCCATGGCCAATATACAGATCTAATTCGACTTTTCGAGATGTGTGGGTTTCCTCCCGCTTCCAACTACCTCTTCCTAGGCGACTATGTCGACCGTGGCAAACAAAGCTTGGAGACGATCCTTCTCCTCCTGTGTTACAAGCTCAAGTATCCCGAGAACTTCTTCCTTCTCCGCGGTAATCATGAATGTGCCAACGTCACTCGTGTTTATGGATTCTATGATGAGTGCAAGCGGCGCTGCAACATCAAGATTTGGAAGACTTTCATCGATACATTCAACTGCCTTCCTATCGCTGCTACCGTCGCTGGCAAGATCTTTTGTGTTCATGGTGGACTGTCCCCTAGCCTCTCTCATATGGATGATATTCGGGGAATTGCAAGGCCCACTGACGTACCTGACTATGGCCTGCTTAATGATCTCCTGTGGAGCGACCCAGCAGACATGGAAGAAGATTGGGAGCCCAACGAACGCGGTGTCAGTTATTGCTTCGGTAAAAAGGTTATCATGAACTTTCTGCAGCGTCATGACTTCGACTTGGTCTGCCGCGCCCATATGGTGGTCGAGGACGGGTACGAGTTTTATCAGGACCGTATTTTAGTCACTGTCTTCTCAGCTCCTAATGTGAGTACCAAACTTTCCTTTTGCATTTCTTTTGTGAAGAATACAGTGTTTGCTGACTGGCGTCTGTAGTACTGCGGCGAGTTTGATAATTGGGGTGCCATTATGTCAGTGTCGGGGGAGCTGCTATGTAGCTTTGAGCTACTCAAACCGCTGGATTCCACTGCTCTGAAGAACCATATCAAGAAGGGCAGGAAAGAGCGGAATAATATGTTAAGCAGTCCTGTAAGTTCACCCTTACTTCACTTCGTTGTCGCCAAGAGAGATCACCACCTATTCGTGCAACATTGCCGAAGCGCTTGTGGTCTATTCCTTGCCTATCCGTCTCATCACATCATGGAGCACAAGTCACTAATAGTTCTAGCCCGCACACGTATCGGCCCAAAGCTATTAACCGTTCCACCGATCACCCGCCAAGAAACTGGTCTTTGCAACATGCTACCGCCAAGCATCTCCGAGCCCATTTCGACCAATTGATGCCAAATGTGACGTTTTCTCAAAAGTGCATATTCTTTCGGTATTACTCGGAAGCGAGAAGCATTTTATGGTACGGTACAGGCTCTAAGAGATCGATTTCTCACCATCAATATCTGAGCGCCATGGTGGTCAGTTTCTGGGCTGCTCTCCTTGCTGCCCAGCAACCCTTGCGCCTTCAAATCACAGGCTGCCCCGCATGACATTAATAGGGCCGGCCGAGCCCTGTGTCTGACGGGTCCAGTCTTCCGCATAGACAGGTTGGTCGATACTAGTTTCCAGTTGCAGGGAACACTTGTCCTCGCGGATGAGACAAGTACCTGCTTCGAAATCGCCGCTGGCCACTCCCAACGATTATATACTGTCTCCATCCATTCTGGGCAGTTATCGGGTTTCGTCCCATGAGTCACGAAAAGGGAAAACAGACACGAACAGCTGGCAGAAGCCGCTGTCGTATTCGCTTCCAGGTGTTTCTTCTACAATTTCTCAACTCTTTCCTCTCTTGCCTCGCACTATCTCACTTCGTCATGATATATCTTTGAGAGCGGTAGTTATTGCTTATTTTCGTTGTTTCCTTTTTTGTCTCACGGTGCAGCTTGGGCATGGGCGTTCTCTACAAACACTATTAGACATTTTAAGGGATCACAAATTGACACCTATGGGGTCAGCATAGTCTCTCGATTCGCATCATAATGTCACAAGTTTGACTGATCATTCTACGTGCCTTGTAGCTGCTGCTGTCAGTATTATCACTACTGAGTCGAAGCACCAGGTCGATAACCTCATCCAATGATTCGACACGTTATCTCATCCTCTAAACTCTCCTGTAGCCCGTTCTCAATTGCAGTGAGATCTTCAGAAATACATCCCATACTTAACATCCCGAATTTTGGATCCTGGTCATCCACGTAGAACAAATCAGCTGGCTGACACAGAGAATTCTCCATTAAATGACTACTCACATGCATGAAGTATATCCCCGTCAACGTCATCCCAGGAGCTATCTCCGCCTTTCTGGATCTTTGGCGGATGCATGGACCCACAGGGAGTCGCAGCTGCAGGATAGCACTCGGTTGGAAGGTGAAGGGAACAGGCTTGAAGTTCGTGGTTACCTGTGACATGTACGTAGTCAGTAGTATGTTCCATCGACAAACACTGTCTTCGATCTGGGCCACTTACCTTCAAAGACGTGATCGCGCCGTAGTTGTAAGGGTTGCTGCAGTCCTGCGCACTCGCGAAGACACCCGTATCGGCCTGGATCCCCGTCAACCGCTCACCAGCCGGGCCGTCAATGGGGAAGGGGATCCTAGTTGTGTAGTCGCCCGTGGCGGTTGCCGGGCAAGCCTGGAGACATTTGACGGGTGCGTCGTCGTTGTAGAAGAAATCGATTCCGACGATTGCGGTCTTCGAAACTGTTACTGAGATGCGGGTGAGGTATTGCAGCATATGGCCCTTGAGTCCGCCGAACATGATGTGCACGAGAGGCCGGTATTCATGTAGGGGGATTTGACGGCCTGAGAACGTACCGTCGTGGAGGTGGTGAGAAGGTGCTGGGATGTCTGGGTACCAGAGTCCCGTTGTACGGAGCGGGAGGTGCTCGCCCCTAGAGTCAGAGGGGAAGAGCGGGTTGAGATTCGACGGAACGGCTAGGGAGACCATTTTGAAGCCCTATAGTAGGTTGGTTTTGTTAGGTAGGTTCGTCCCTGTGTGCTTGTGGAAGAGGCTTAGGTGTGATATAACACTCACATCGAAATAACCTTTTATTTCATGAATGGTCTCTTTCATGCATAATCGGAGAGTTTGGGGGTTCTCTTTCCAGGATCCCACCCAGGATGAGACGTCGCCTTTGTCTGTCACAGCGCGTAGGGCCATGATGCCTCTGGGACTGACGGCGGTGATGAAGCCAGTTATTCGGTAGCATCCGGCGCCCATGTCGAGCATTCTCTCGTTTGCCGTCACAGTGTAGCCGAGAATGACTTCCTGATGGTCCTCGAAAATGAACCGTATGCCGGAGATGTACTGTTGTTCACTGAGACGCCGAAAGGAGATTTTAATGGCTCGGATCGGTGCTGAGATTGAGACTGTCTGTTCATATATCTCCCTGCATTTTACACCACAAGGGAAGCGGTCCGCAGGTTGCGCAGAGAAGTCTCCTCCAACGGGTCTCCATGCTTTAGATGGCTTTGCTGGGAAGGCCTGCAGCGTCCTGATTAAGCTATCGTTATTCAAGGGTTCTTCAAGAAGATCCGCCAGGTCTTCGAGTAGATCCCAGACCCGTTTTCTATTCTTCAGCTCAAGGGAAGACATCAACAGTAGGCCTGTTTTTTCATAAAGAATTCTCCAGTCTCGATTGCGCTGCTCAGCGATGCTGCTGTATGACGGATCCGTCGCTTCGAAGCAAAATCCGCGCTCCTGATGAGAATCGAATCTCGAGGCCCAGAATGTCTGACTGAAAGGTAGACTCGCAAAGGACCTCGAAGCCAGCCTGGCATTGGCGACGCTGTGAGAGGGGAGAAGCACCTGGATGAGCTCTAGGACTTCTTGCGGCAGTCTCTGAAAGCAATCCGCCGCGTTCTGAAAGACCGGTACTATTAAAGAGGCCTGTGCCGTTGGAACATCTGTTCTTTGAGAGTCCACAAGAGCCTGCTTCAACTCGGGAACAATTATAGGGTTCGCCGTTGCCAATGACAAGGGTGAGTTCTTGTCTCCCAGATATCGTTTAATAAAGCCCACAATGGAGACATCCTCCCACGGATATCCCTCAGGAGCTCTATCCATGAGCCCGCCATAATTGTGACCCCAGTCTAACCATCCCTTTCTGTTTGCCGGACATGAAAGTAAGATATCGTAGAGCCGCTCGATGGGAACAGATCGGGGCGCTAACCGAGTTATCAACAGGTCCCAGCAGACCTCGTGGAAGAGAAATCCAGGCTGTGGGCGCAGTCGCTCTCCAACGAGAGGAGGGAAGGCATCTTCCGCAGACAACTCAAGGCCTTCGTCGCTCCATCGCCTCTCAACTGCGGACGGTGCGGCGCAGTCAGGTATTATCGCTAGCGGCACGTAGCCACCTACCCCAGTCAAGAACGGCCTCCCCTCTAGCCCAGAGTTTCGATCACATCTCACTATTGGGCGGTCAACTCAACATGCCCTGAGGCAGTCGTCACTAATTCAGGGAATATAAAAGGTTTGAAGAAAGTCACAAGATACACACCTGCGCGGAAGTCCCTTTGCCAGGATACCTTCGGACTATGATATGGAATCTTGGCACCACAGACAACACACAGCGAGTGTGACCATTCCATCGTAACAGCCAAGGTTGTTCAGTTACTAAAAAGACTGAGATGATTAGAGACATGTGGAATCCTGGAGTTGAAAGCTGGGTGTGCCCAGGTCCTTGACGCGGTTTATACAGACTTGGAGCATAGGGCTGAGGGCCATTCTGCAACTCGCCTTTGAAGGCTGGCTTTTGAAGAGCAGCCTTTTGAAGCTTGCTTCGCTGGAGAGAATCTGATTCAATTCATCATGTTTGTTCAGCGACTAAGCTGATGCCTGGACTTATACGGCTTATTGCGTAGAAATATGACCAGGCGTACATCAGAGGTGAAACTGCGGAGGTCGTGGTTGGCGCGATCACCAGCCCCGTCGTGTTCGGTGCCTAAGGCTAAAGAGCTAATGACACTGCCTGCAGCCTCACCATCACTGGTACAGGCAGAAGCGAAAGACTCATTCCAAGAATAAACTTTTATCCATTTATAAATAGACCTACCCAGCTCGCCAAGTGAGTACAAAAGTCAAACAAGATAGGCAGATGAGAAAATATACACAGCGCCAGATGACAAAATGTGCAGAGTATGACGTTCAATGGCGAATTCCGAGTATAAAATAGAACATTTGCCAATGGGATTCGCAAAATCAACGATCAAGCATTGGTGCCTAGATTTCTCCTCAGACACTTCTGCAAACAAAGCGATTCGCGGCCTATGCGTAATCCCTGACGTAGCGACCTGGCAACTCAACGTCCCACATAGGTCTCTCGACAACGGCAACCTCCAGCGTATTGCCAGCAGTACCATCCTCAACACCATCCTCGGTCAACAAAGAGCTCAGAGGCACAATGCCGAGTAGGTCACGGTACTTGTACGTGTACCACCACCGACGTGCCGGTTGAGATCCGTTCGACTGCACCAATTGGTTCTGGGGCGTGTCAAGCACGTCCTGATCATTTGGCTTCCGAGCTGGTGTATCACTGGTCCCATTGAGCGAGAGAAGCTTATCACGAGGCCCAAGAGAAACTCGCTTTCGCGGAGTGCTGGTTTCGTCTTCCTCAAGCTTTCCTCTTCTAAGTCGCGCCAAAGCTGCGTCATTGCCTGCTGTAGAGTTTTCGTCATATTCAAAGGCCTCTTCATCTCCTGCTGCTCGTGGGCGCTCCTTGTCTAGGGAGACCCACTCTCCCTTGGAATCATCGTGTCCTTCGATCTTGCGATATTTGGAGCCAAAGTGAACATCTGATTGAGCCAGTGACATTCGATCACCAGCACCGCTGTTCGCTTTTCTTCTCTTCTCTTCTTCCTCTAATTGCTCACGCTTTCTCTTGTTAGCCGAAGATGCCTTAACGAGCTGTGTCGAAGAGTCTCCTTCTTCGTGGCCATCTACGGTTTCCGTCAACTCTTCCGGAGAGGGAAAATCCTGGTTCAGGTCAAACATCCACAACCAAGAAGTACCGTACAACCACAGGCGGTCACGCGACTCGGAAAGATCCCACAAGCAGCCCATTGCGCGGTCCTTGACCCCCTTAAATTGCTCCGGAAGATAAGCCTTGGGGTTCCTTCTTGACCAGTCCGAGAGCTTTCCTTCGAGAGCGTCGAATTCCACAAGCTGATGTTCACTCGTGAGAGCCATCAATCGACTCTCGCCTCTGAGAGATTTTTGGGAAGACTGATCAGTACCGTTTGTGAGAAGTTTTGCTTCTGCCGGACTTTGAGGGCGGAAGGAGAGCAGAAGCACCCCAGATTTGAGTCTGGGTATGGGTGAGTCAGCATTGGCGTACTGCCAGCGCTCTCCGTCTATCACTGGTCGCTCATCCTCATCGTCCGAAGATTCATCTTCAGAATCTGCAGCGCCGTTGCGCTTGTCGGCAGCTTCTGAAGACGAGTCCTCGACATTCTTCAGGAACCAGGTATCGACACAGCCAGAAAGATCACCAGTCGCTAGAATTCTGCTGTTCTCGGAAAAGACAACGCAGCGGACAGTTCTCTCGTAGTCCCCTAGAGTACCATGGGAAGCCTTCTCGTGACGAGTGTGCCGAGTCGCCCTGTCAAGTTTGACAAGCTGTGGTAAGATCTGTGGTTTCTCCTGAGGCGACGAAGCAGGCATGACCCTAGCCAGGTAGATGGCACTATTAGGTCGAACCACACAGAGCCACCGGCTGTCCGGTGATATGGCCACAGCTCGTGCACCATCCTCAGAGAACGCGGCGGGAACATCTAACTTTGTTATGCGTAAAGCCCCCCTTTCATCACTTTTTCGTCGTCGGACGGAGAAAACCTTGACCTCGGAGACCGTAGCAACAATAAGAATCTTTCCGTCCACGGAGAGCATCGCTGACGTGATGTTTTCTTCGCCCTGTGATAAGCGATAGGGCACGCCTTAGCAGCTTGTCATTGCAGGAAAGGGTATTTTGCATTCTCACCTGAATTAAAACCTTTCCGACGAGTCGATGCTTCTGCCCCTCCAAATTATCATGTGGTGAGGTTGGGCCACGGGATACGCGCCAGATGCTGACCTCTCTGTCCCAGAAGCTCATCACAAGCCTAGAGGAAGGAGAAGACGCTAGTTGAGGTATTTGCGGCAGACTGGAGAGCTTCCTGTGGTGTTCTTTTCCGAATTCACGCAATGGGAGTACGACAGGTGAGGCGTCGGGACCTAAGGAATGTCAACTCGCCGAAAAACCTCAAAGAGAAAGTAAAGGGAGTTGTATCTTACCTCCAGAAACAACAATACTGATATCTCTTGTCTCATAAACCGCAAAGGTCTTAACGTCATGGGTGTGGTACCGACGGTGCATCACTTCAGCCCATCTTCCCTTCTTTTCGCCTTTCTCTCCCGGACCTTTCCTGTACACAACCGTCCTCTGGTCCGCACCTCCACTGACAACTGTATCTCCATTGGCGCTGACAGCGACATCGAGGGTATCTGCTAGATGACCTTGTATACGTTGGATGAGGGAGTAATTCTTCGCATCCCAAAACCGGATCTCGCCAGCAGAGTCGCCGGAAACAATGGTACCGTCTGGAAGGCACTTGACTGACCAAACCAGTAATTCCTTGGGACCACCAGCCGGTCCCTTACCGAGAGAGATTGTACGTAGAAGCTGCCCAGACCGAATATCGAATAGTCGAATCGAGCTGTCCGCATAACCAGCCACGATGGTGTTGCGATTTTGGAAAGTGACACTAAGGACTCTCGCTCTCTTTGTAGAAGGACGCATCAGCCGTAGGAATTTCAATTCGCCGTCGGCAGTAGACAGGATCACGATTGAGCCATCTGCGCATCCAGCCGCGAGATGCTGCCCGGTGTACTCTCCCTCTGCAGGCGGCAGAGGCTTCCCATCCTTGCCACGCTTCGTAGCCTGCCATCTCGGTTGCGCAGCTATACACCAGATTTCACCGTAGTTTCCGCTCGAGTGACGCATGGGGCGGCCCTGCTCCAGATCCCACTCCGTTACCGCGGTCGAGTATCCAATGCTGAACAATCGCAGTTTCCCAGGAATCTTGGTTCCGTCGGGTCCAGTCTCTGGGGGATCTAGAGTCCATGCAAGCCCCTCTATACTTCTGTCTTTTCCTCCGCGCAGAACCGTCTCCTGGAACCAGGCGCCGCGCATTGGGTTCCATATCTCGATGTCGCCATTTGCGCGGCCGATGGCAAGCCGTAGGGTAGGGACGCCTCGACCGGCAAGTTCCGCGGAGGGAGGGTGAGAGAATGAGAGCGCATTGATCGCCTGGGGGTTGTAAGGCACGAAACGGCAACGATGAATATCCATTGTTGGCCACCTGATGCGATCAAGGTCTCGAATTGGAGATTTCGAAGTAGAAGGGAAGGGAAGCGAGGAGGGTAGATCCGTCAAATGAGGAAGATATCTACCTTGGCTCAAGAGTTAGAGCCAGTCGCTAAACAATCATTCCGGTAATATCGTGGAATACTGTCGTTCGTGGTGTTAAGCGTTTCTGACGTTCTTTTTCTGCTTCTCAACTTTTTTTTCTTGCCCGTAGAATACAATTTTTAGCGCGCCAAGGAAAACTCCGCGGAGACTTGTCACGTGATATCGTCCAGCTGTACCGACTATGGCCCTCATTTCTACTGACCTCTAGAGATTAGCTATTAAGTGATGCAATGAGAACTTTGATTGTACGTCTCTGAAAATGATATGGAAATACTAGAAAGCTGCTTGTGTCATACCGGCGGTTATCCAGTCGACGTCGATCACCAAAGCCGCAGACAGTTCTGAGATCTACGATACAGGGGCACGTTTTTGATTCAACTTGTCTAATTCTAGGTCTGAGATATGTCCCAATGTTCGGTTGTGTGACCGGATCCGAATGCAGGGCAGGATGGACGAACAGTATCTGCTATGACGATTGTTACTTGTAGGGCAAGGGTATTTATATTTATATATCCACGACTGACTTACTACGCTCAAGCCAGCTCCCTTTTTAAAGAGATCAAGAAGCGTTCATGAAGCCAGCAGAACATATCACTGGCCGGGATAGCTCGTTTTTCCAATAAGTAAAAAAAAGGGGGGGAAATAAAGGAAGCTCCTGAGCAACCGATTTCCAAACACTCGAGTCTACAGAGACCCAATATCAGACACGGAATGGTTGTCACTAAGACCTGGGTGTGGTACTACCAGAGTCATGTCGCACAAGCATGCAGCTGGAGGTCAGATATCGACATTGAATCGGGGACTGAATCAGGGTTTGCGCTAGGATACGAAACGCTCAGTCTATGCCGCTTCACAAGAGAATTGCTAGTAGTATAGCAGCACAGTATACATGCATGTGTACTATTCAAGAACCTGTAGTCTAGACGGTATCGCCGGACAGGCCCAGATGTAACCCACAGCGCCAGAAACCAAGTCAAAGCCTTTAGCACGGCATGCTGAACTTTCATAGACCTATGTCGTATTAATGACACAAGAAGACTCCAAAGTCGTTGGTCGTTGATAGGCCGAGGTGAGATCTGGGGCCTGCCACGTCAGTCCAACCCTGGTCCCGTGCGCCGGGGCGAAACAGGAAGACTTATGCAC